TCTATTCTATTCTATTCTATTTCATTCCATTCCATTCCATTCCATTCCACTGTTTCCTCAATCTTCTCTGCCAACTGTTGGTCTTTTCTTGGCACTTGCTTAGGGATTAAAAAGAAGTGTTTATCATTCTTTAGGCTTGCTATTTTTAATAGCACCAGAGTGAGAAAAAGAATCCCCAAGAACAGAACAGCAAGAATCAGAAGGAAGAGATAGGTTAAGGAGATGAAGCACAATAACCCTTTCTGTCCAGAAATGGATGGAAAAGCAATCCACAAAAGGGGGGAAAAGCACCTAATGAGGTCAGAAAGTAGCAGACAGACCTGGAATTCTAATCTGACATAAAACGGAAGGGCACGAATATGCATTCGCTAGCTGAATCCAAATGAGAAAGGACTCTCATTAAGTAGAGCGAGGTCCAAGTACGGTCCTCTGAATGAGAGCAATCTCAGGAAAATTAAGTGGAGGACCTGTATAGGATCTAACATGATGGATAGGAGCTTCAAATGTATGGGTCAGATGGCAACAGAGCATTGAACTCAAGGTCTATGGATAATCATCCGTTCTAGTTGAATAGATGGACTACTCAATGTTCTTCAGTATTTTCAGTTCTATTCATCACATTTTTCTACATATGAGCAGTAAGTGGCAAAAGGCCACCCCACCTAAACTTTAGAACAGCAGCCCTGTTGGAGTTAATTTAGCTTCCTGGAACAGCCAATGAGATGATCATCAGCAGAAGGTAGAGACAGCCATTTCTCACTCTTCTTCCTTAGAAAACACATGGTTCCAGAATAATGGAGTTGAGAAGGACTTGGAGGTCTTCTTGTCCAGCCCCCTGCTGGAGCAGGAGACCCTATACTACTCCGGACAAGTGGCTGTCCAGTCTCTTCTTAAAACCCTTCAAGGATGGAGCACCCATAACGTCTGGAGGCAAGAGGTTCTAACCAGTTAATTTTCCTGGAAGGAAATTTCTGCTTAGTTCTAGGTTGACTCTCCTTTTAGTAATAGTAGTAAAGTTGGAAGGGACCTTGGAGGTCATCTAGTCCAACCCCCTGCTCAGGCAGGAAACCCTACACCATTTCGGACAAATGGCTGTCCAGTCTCTTCTTAAAAACTTCCAGTGTTGAAGCATTTACTGCTTTCGGAGGCAGGTTGTTCCACTGGTTAATTGTTCTCACTGTCAGGAAGTTTCTCCTTAGTTCTAGGTTGCTTCTCTCCTTAGTTTCCATCTGATGCTTCTTGTCCTGCCTTCAGGCCCTTTGGAGAACAGCTTGACTCCCTCTTCTTTGGGGCAGCCCCTGAGATACAGGAACACTGCTATCATGTCCCCCCTCATCCTTCTTTTCATTAAACTAGACATCCCCAATTCCAGCAACCGTTCCTTATATGTTTTAGCCTCCAGTCCCTTAATCCTCTTTGTTGCTCTTCTCTGTACTCTAGAAATTTCTAGAGTCTCAACAGCTTTTTTACAGCTTTTAAGCTTTTTTTACAGCTTTTAAGCTTCCATTTGTTACTTCTTGCCCTGCCTTCAGGTTCTTTGGGAAAATAGGCTAGCCCCCTCCCTTCTGTGGTAGCCCCTCAATTTTTTGGAAAACTGCTATCATGTCACGCCTAGTCCTAATCCACGCAAATACAAGAGATAACGCTGAGTATCCTTGGAACAGAGTATTTTTGTAGCTCGGAGTTGAACTGTGGGGTGCTCTCTAAGCTTGGGGATTTTCTTCCAGATGTTTCATTGCCCAGTTAGGTATCATCATCTGGGCTAGAAGGGAGTGGGGTTTGCAGGGGGGAGGAGGAGGGGAGGAGGAGGATCGGAGGAGGAAGAGGAGGAGGTGGTCGTCCTTGGTGCTTTCTGAGCTTGGTGGTTTTCTTGTAGCTGTTTCACGGCCCACCTAGGGGACACTGAGCCCCAGAAAAAAGGCCTTGGATACAAGTGCTCTGCAAAACTGCATCCAATCCCCTTTTAAAGCCAACCACGTTAGTGGCCATCAGCACCCTTTGCGCTAATAAGTGCCAATGAGTTAATGATGATGAGCAATTAAACCTGCTACCATTCCGAATGGATCACAAGGGAGTCGTTGAAGAGCAGCCAGAGGGCAGCAGAAATTAGCAAAGCCATCCGACACCTTCTGCTAGGTCCTTTTTATAGTTGTGGTGGAGTATCCAGGAACATCAAGTCTTCTGAGGCTCCAAATGACTAGAAGAGACTACAGGCATTGTCGTCCTGGACTTACAACGGCTCATTTAGTGACCCAAGTTACAACAACATCGGGGAAAAAAGTGGGTTACAACTGGCCTTCACAATTAAAATCATTGCAACATCTCCATGGTCACGTGATCAGAATTTGAGTGCTTGGCAACTGTCATGTAATAATAATATTAATAAGAAGAAGAAGAAGAAGGAGAAGGAGGAGGAGGAGGAGGAGGAGGAGGAGGAGGAGAAGAAGAAGAAGAAGAAGAAGAAGAAGAAGAAGAAGAAGAAGAAGAAGAAGAAGAAGAAGAAGAAGAAGAAGAAGAAGAAGAAGAAGAAGACGAAGAAGAAGAAGAAGAAGAAGAAGAAGAAGAAGAAGAAGAAGAAGAAGAAGAAGAAGAAATTGGAAGGGACCTTGGAGGTCATCTAGTCCAACACCCTGCTCAGACAGAAAATCCTATCCCATTTGAGACAAATGGCTGTCCAGTCTCTTCTTAAAGACTTCCAGTTTTGGAGCATTCACAGCTTCTGGAGGCATGTGGTTCCACTGGTTAATTGTTCTCACTGTCAGGAAGTTTCTCCTTAGTTCTAGGTTGCTTCTCTCCTTGATGAGTTTCCGTCCGTTGTGTCTTGTCCTGCCTTCAGGCGCTTTGAGAATAGCTGGACTCCCTCTTCTTTGGGGCAGACCCTGAGATATTGGAACATATTTTATGATGAGTATGTATGACAGTTGCAGCATCCCAGGGTCACGTGATCACCAGTTGCGACTTTCCCAGCCAGCTTCCGACAAGCAAAGTCAAGCCAGATTCACTTAACAAATGCATGATTCATTTAACAACGTCAGGGGTTCCCTTAAGAGCCGTGGCAAAAAAAAAATCAGAAAACTGGGAACGATTCACCTAACAATGCAAGGGAAATTCTAATCCCAACTGGGGTTGTATGCTGAGAACTAGATGTATATCCAATTTTTCAGACCTTTGTTTCTTAGCCTTGGTCATCGATATGGTGCCTTCCAGTACAAGATGTTTCAACCAGTTCATATTCAGGAGAAAAGGCTTAAGTTTTGTGAAAAACCAAAGTGTTTGAGAGAAAGAAAATCGGGTCAACGTTTGCTACTCCCTCTGATTCAGCTTTCCATTTTTATGAGAAAGAATTGCTGAAGTCCTTAAAAGAGACCCTTTTGCATTCTGAATTCGTAGCTCAAGGTTAGGAAAAACGGGGTTTGGCAGTCTAAACCATCCTTCAGAAGAGTTATATTTTTAGGGATTTCAGCACACAGAATTAATGTTTTGTTAGGTGTTTGCGAATTGACTTAAAATTCCCATTTCTTCATTCCCTCTTCGTCCTCCACCACCCCCTTTTTTTTAAAAAGGGTTTCTTTATGTATGAGTGCTTATTAACCACAAACTGCATGTGTATCTATTCATACCAAAATTTTAGATAATGAAGCAATTAAAAACACACAGCTTGGAGATTCTTATCTCGTGCCTTCCTGTGGACCATTTCTACTTCATTATTCATGAAGGGATGTGTTTAATTCAGAGTTAGTAATTGCAGATATATCTAGTACAAATTGTGTCTTATATTCTTTGCTGGCTTCAATTTATTTTAGCAAATAGATCTACGGGGGAATGAAAAGAGAGAAAGAGAGAGAGAAGGCTGGGAAAAAAAAAATCAAATGTTGGCACAGGCAAACAAATCCTAAGGCATTACGGGAGCACAAAAGACACATATCTCTTCGCTAGGCTAAAAACGGTTGAAATGAAGTCGCAGAAATCAAATGTTGCCCTCGTGATAATATCAGATGGCAGAATTTAGGGCCCTGCGCCTTCAATGTGATTAGGAAAAGTTTTTGATTAAACCTCAGACTTTTTCTCTCCCCCAGTTAAATGCTCCTGAGTCCATTGACGTTCTAGTGCAAAACATTGGAGCAATGGAAATAAATCTTTTTTTTATTTCAATCCAAGCAGATTTTAAGGTTCCCCCCAAATGAAGTTCTCCAGTGAAGTGGGGCTGACAGATGGCATCTATCTTTCCACCTATCAATCAGAAATGAGATTATTATAGAGTCACGTACAAAAATGGAAAGACTCTGAAATATCCTGTAAGGGAAGAATAGCTGGTGAAGATCAAAATGGGACTTGTAAAATGGGACTTGCCTGAAAATAGAAAAGACAATAACCCCATTTATTAGTAATCGTAAATCCCATTATGGGCTTTTGCCTGAAAAAAGGGGGGGGGGAAATAGGGAGGAAGGATAGCTCCAATATGGTTAATCTCCTAGTTCCCCTCTCTACTTTTTGGGAGACAAAGTTGTCTGCTAGGTTTGTCAGAAATCTGTTTGATCTTCCACTTGGTGAAGAGTTTGTCTCCCAGTTGATGTCAGGGTAATTAAAGTCCTCCATTACTATTGTGATGTGCTTCCTACATACCTTAGTTAGCTGACTAGCAAAAAGTTCATCTATTTCCTCTGTTTGTTTGGGTGGCCTATAGTATACACCTATGGTAATGTCATTTCCTCCCCCCCCCTTTTATATTGACCCAAATGCATTCAATAATTGGAAGCCACTTCTATATAACTTTTTATTTCCTCTCCTTTCCATTCCTTTCTCTTCACTTCAATACTCTTCCCTTCCCATTCCCTTCCCTTCGCTTTCTTTCTCTATTTCTTTCTCAGATCTTTTTTTCTCTAAATAACATTTATTTTCTGGAAGGAAGGAAGGAAGGAAGGAAGGAAGGAAGGAAGGAAGGAAGGAAGGAAGGAAGGAAGGAAGGAAGGAAGAGAAGGAAAAAGAAGAGAAGTGTTTGAAAATGCAATTCTCTTCCTAAAAGTTGCCCTTGAAATATGGCTGTTGTTGTGGAGAGAGAGAGAGAGAGAGACAGAGAGAGACAGAGAGAGAGATTGCAGTGTGTGTTAGTCAACTCCAGGCTATTTGTATTGCCCTTGAGTGCTGTTTGTGAAGCAGCAAAGCTATAAATACATAAATCTCCTCGCTTAAATTTGCAGTTTCCATTTCTTTATTTTGCCCCAGTGCAGCCCACATGTGATGTATGTTTCATTTTGCATTGTTCACTTTTCTTGCACTGGAATCATTGATCAAACTTCTGCTCCTGTGACATAAATAACGGTGAGAATTCTAATCATCTCTATTATTAAATACCTTGCCATTTGTTCTGACAACGGACTATAAAAGTATAACAGGCTGGATAAAAATTAAACGGGAGCCATAAAAATCAGATAGGGAAATCCATTCCAGCAGAAAACTACATTTCCTGGAGAATCCAGATGACAATTTCATTAGGCTTATCCTTAACCACATGGGCAGGGGATTATAAGACCTAGCGTCTTCCACATCTGGAGAACGGCATGTATACCTATGTTTGTGTGAGTGCATGTGTGTGAATGCACACGGGTGTGTTGTGTACCACAGGAATCAAATGCTCCAAATTTGGGGAAGGGACAGATCAAAAGTCAAAAGGTCCCAAAAGTTTGTGAGCCATGCACATGACACACTGTAAAAAAACACCAGCTGAGCTTTCGGCGTCCTGCCCCGGCTGCCATCTTGACTTTTTGGACCACTACCAGCAGCCCGCCCAGCCAGCCCCGCTGGTTATGAGCCCAAAACAATGGGGGCTGGATAGCAATTCTTCATGAACTTTAGGAGCTTGAAAAGGGAAAAAAAGAACAGAAAATCAGCAGAAAAATAAAAGCATGGCTACTTTTTAAATAGGATAGATGGGGATTGATTTCTATTGCTTTAAACCTAGAGAGGTATGAAGAGAAGGGAAAAGGAAAGGAAAGGAAAGGAGAACGGGGGAAGGGAAGGAAAATGGAGAAGGGAACTACATCAGGACAGGACAGGACAAAGAAGACAAAGATTTAGGGGAAAAAAGCCGAATCTATTAATTCTATCAGAAGCTTTTGTCCGCCGTAACAATAGGGATCGAAAAGCCTTACGCAGTTTGTTTTCATTCCTGTCCTTAATATAGCGCTGAAAATTGCTCCGATGTTGCGGGGGAAAGGGGATTGTCTTCATCAAGCAAAGCGGCGCCCTTCCTTTGTTGAACCGCTGTCACGATCAATAGCAAATCTAGCAAACAAGAGACACTCGAGTTTTAATCAGTGTTGAACAAGACAGGGTTGCAATATCCTTTTCATGCAAACACGATAGTAAGTCTTCAAAAGGGAAACTGAGCTTGACACAAAACGACTGCAGAATGGAGCATATCGTACAGCTAATGGGTTGATTATTATTATTATTTGCTGTGCGTGACCGCCGCTGGCACCAGTGGGCAGTGGTGATGCTGCAAAGTCTGACAACCCACTGGGATATTGCAGGGAGTCCTCCACTTACAACCACTCGTTTAGCGACGGTTCGAAAATTGCAGCCACCAAGAAGACTGACTTTAGGATTTCACGCTTAACGACCATTGCAGCGTCCCCCTTGGTCATGTGATCCCAATTCAGGCTCTTGGCAACTGGCATGTACTTAGGACGGTTGCATTGTCCCGGGGTCATGTTATCCCCCCCATTGGCAGCTGGGTTTCTGACAAGCAAAATCCGTCGGGAAGCCAGATCCACTTCACAATTACACTAATCAAGGAGAGAAGCAACCTGGAACTAAGGGGAAACTTCCTGAGAGTTAGAACAATTAACCAGCGGAACAACCTGCCTCCAGAAGCTGTGAATGCTCCAACACTGGAAGTTTTTAAGAAGAAACTGGACGGCCATTTGTCTGAAATGGTACAGGGTTTCCTGCCTGAGCAGGGGGTTGGACTAGATGACCTCCAAGGTCCCTTCCAACTCTGTTATTCTGTTCAGTGTTCCAATATCTCAGGAGCTGCCACAAGGAAGAGGGAGTCAAGCTATTCTCCAGAGTCCCTGAAGGCAGGACAAGAAGCAACGGATGGAAACTGATCGAAAAAAGCAACTTAGAACTAAGGAGAAACTTCCTGACAGTTAGAACAATTAACCAGTGGAACTCCTTGCCTCCAGAAGCGGTGAATGCTCCAACACTGGAGGTTTTTAAGAAGAGACTGGACAGCCACTTGTCTGAAATGGTATAGGGTTTCCTGCCTGAGCAGGGGGTTGGACTAGATGACCTACAAGGTCCTATTATTATTATTATTATTATTATTACTACTACTACTACTACTACTACTACTACTACTACTACTACTACTATTACTACTACACAATTCACTTAACAACTGCAGCGATTCATTTAACAACTGTGGCACAAAAAAAGGTTGTAAAATGGTGGAGCAAAACTCACTTTACAGCCGCCTTGCTTAGCAATGGAAAATTTGGGCTCAATTGCCGTCGTAAGTCGAGGACTCTCTGTAACCGATGGTTGAAGATTGGAGGGTCTTGATCTGGTAGCAGGAAAGAAATAATGTGAGAAATGGTTCTGTAGTCTTCTCTTTTCATAGAATATTGGATTTATCTCCCCCAAAAGATAAGTAAGGCTTCTGGGTATAAAATGCTGCATTAACAAATTAACAGAGCTTCTATTCCCAAAATAAGTATCCGGACAGTTTTGCAGACAAGAACGCTTTGCAATCTGTTATTTGCATTATATACATCCACGTGCTCAATCGTGGCATTCAAAGTGATTTCATTTAATTATACACATTTCATCCGTTGCTTTCCACCACCACCCATCCCACAAATTGCTCACTAAATGAAAGAGGTCACATCCTCAAAATTAATTTAATTTGCGGATGGCGCGGGCACGCATGGGTTACATTTCACCGCTCAGAGGCTAATTTCCAGCACTTGGGACCTGAAAAATAAGTCTTCGCAGCTCAAGGCACAGATTCAGTTAAGCAATAAAATTAAAAATTGGAGATCGGCTGTGAATTCATCTTCGGTAATGCCAGAGTACTCCCTTTGGCACAGCATTACAGCCAGATTTACTGCGCACCAGGTACCACTAAAAATATTGAAGTGGTCAGACAATGGCTCATTAGAGGCTTGTAAAATCAAAATTGAAGGAGGAGAGGGATGAGAATGGGGTAAAATATCAAACTTTAATGACTTTGCTTCTGAACTGCGGTGAGCCAAGCCAAAGATCCCAATTCCTAGAAAAAGGAACATTTTGCAATGGAGACAGAATAGTAAATATCACCACTTATCCCCTTTCTGGGAGATCTACATCAACATTTCTCCTCCTCAGCAACTTAAAAGATGTGTGGACTTCAACTCCCAGAATTCCCCAGCCATGGTTACTTCCCACGTCAGTTGCCCAGCTCCAGTCTTGTCAATTGCAGAAGTCTGGCAGTCTGAGGAATGCTGGGAATTGAAGTCCACTTATCTTTTAAGTTGCTGAGATTGAGAAATACTGAGGCAGATGTTGAGTTTCTCAACCAGGCCGCAGAGAAGAGCAAAAAAGATGATCAGGGGACTGGAGGCTAACACATACAAGGAACAGCTGCTGGAATTGGGAATGTCTAGTTTAAGGAAGAGAAGGACGAGGAGGGATATGATAGCAGTGTTCCAATATCTCAGGGGCTGCCCCAAAGAAGAGGGAGTCAAGCTATTTTCCAAGGCGTCTGAAGGCAGGACAAGAAGCAACGGGTGGAAACTAAGCAAGGAGAGAAGCAACCTAGAACTGAGGAGAAACTTCCTGACAGTGAGAAGAATTAACCAGTGGAACAACCTGCCTCCAGAAGCTCTGAATGCTTCAACACTGGAAGTTTTTAAGAAGAGACTGGACAGCCATTTGTCTCAAATGGTATAGGGTTTCCTGTCTGAGCAGGGGGTTGGACTAGATGACCTCCAAGGTCCCTTCCAACTTTGATGATGATGATGATGATGATGATGATGATGATGATGATGATGATCATCGCACAGTCAGCCAGATGTTCAGACTGGATTTGGCATTTTGTCTACCTATCGAGTCCTTACCCAGGACCTGGGATAGGCAGATGTGGATGTTTGATGGTATTACAGATATCGTCGCAGGATGATGATGATGATGATTATATTCCTGTAAATACTCCAAACATTCAAACATTGTGACTAAAGAATCATTGTGAGTGGATTAAATGGCAAAAGGATTACGCACATCCTTGGACAGTAACAGTACTTATTATAGATTAAAATGCAATTTTTTGGGTGGGGGGAATACCATTTCCCTTTTTGGGGTGGGGAAGAGTGGCTTATGGTCCCCCACTCAGGGAATGACCCTGAGCCTCAGAAAAGCGGTAGACCCTATTTTTACACTCCGTTGGCATGGCAGATTGTACAAGTTTTTATCATTGTGTACTAAGACCTTCATATTTTCTTAGAGGGCCAGTTTGGTCTAGCGGTTAAGGCACCAGGCTAGAATCTGGGAGTTCTAGTTCCACCTTAGGCGTGAGAGCTGCCTGGGTGACTTTGAAGCAATCACCAGGAGATGGTGAGTTCTAGTACCACTTTAGGTATAAAGCCAGCTGGGTGACTTTGGGCCAATCACTAGGAGACGGTGAGTTCTAGTCCTGCCTTAGGCATGACACTCATCTGGGTGACTTAGAGCCAGCCCAACCTACCTCACAAGATTGTTGTTGTGGGGAAAATAGGAGGAAAGTATGTCGGATCTGTTTGCCGCCTTGAGCTAATTCTAAAAATAATAAAAGTGGGACACAAATACATAAATATTTACGTCCTGGTTGACTCCATTCCCTCTGTTTCCTTCTCCATGTCCATCCTCACCATCAAGAATGAACCCTTTTCCAAGCTCGTCTTGTCTGAACATCTCCTAGGTGTATTTCACACACATTATTGTGTATGCTTGTGGGGGAAATGATTCAGACCTTAAGTCTCTTCCCAAGGTGACCTACTCTGCTTCTCTCATTCATGGCAATAAACAAAGTAAATTAGATTCAGTGACATTCTGCTAATTGAGTTGTCCTCTTCTTCCCCCCCCCCACCAATTCTCCTTGATTGGGCTGAGTCTTTAATTACCAGCTAATCTTGTCAATATGGCAGCCGATGCGCAGAGGGCAGTATTCTAACCGCAGAAAACTAGTGAGTGAGATCTAGTTACTGGACTCCAGCATCCTCACTGCCTGGAGTTTGGGGGAAATGAGTTAAAAGGTGGTCATTAATTCTCTTGGAATCGGGGAAATGGTCAAACTTTTCATTTTGGTAAATAAAGCTAAGTGATGTTTGGAAGAAAGCCAGTTCTTACAAGATTTTATGAGGAAAAGCAGAGGGAAAGAGCTAGTTTGGTGCTGTGGTTAAGGCATCGGCTTAGAAACCAGGAGACCGTGAGTTCTAATACCACCTAAGGCACAAAGATGATCTTAGGCCAATCCTTCAGTCAAAAAGCTGGCTTGGTTTAGAGATGAAGGTGTTGGACTAGGAGCAAAGAAATCTAGGCAACTTAGGCATGAAAGCCAGTTGGATGACTTTGGGCCCAGCACTAGGAGACAGTGAGTTCTAGTCCCGCCTTAGGCACGAAACCCAGCTGGCTGACTTGGGGCCAATCACCAGAAAATTGTGAGTCCTAGTCTTGCCTTAGACACAAAGCCAGCTAGATGATCTTGGACCAATTGCCAGGACACTGTGAGTTCAAGTTCTGCCTTAGGAATGAAAGCCATTTAGGTGACATTGAGCCAGTCACTCTGTCTCAGCCCTAGGAAGGAGGTAATGGCAAACCAAAAAAAAAAAAAAAAACCCTTGCCAAGAAAATTGCAAGGACTAATCCAGATAGGTAGTTGCCAAGAGTGAAAAAGTGACTTAAAAGCACACACAAAGTGTTAAACTACAACTCCCATTGGCTATGCTATCTGGGCAGGGAAGGGTTTGAATTCAAACCACATGGAGGATGCAGAGATTAGTAGGAAAGGCTGTTTGGTGTGGTGCTAATTTAAAAAACAACAACAGCCCAAACAAAGTATGTGGCCGTTTCAAGCCATCTGATTTTGTTTAACTCTCCCTTCTGCGTTTCATTATGTCTTGTTATGTAAAACCTTCCTGTTGGATTATTAAGAAGATGAGACAAATGCTGATGACAAGTGTATTCACGAGAAGAATAAAGTAAAGAAACAAAAGGCAGTCTTTTTTTTTAAAAAAAAAAGGCTAATAAAAAAAAGAAGCAGCAAAAACCACACAAGGTTATTGAAAATTGAGTCTTTATTAGAAGCTAGCAAATTGCCAAAGAGGTACTTTAAAAGCCAAGCCAGGATTTTGATTAAAATGGCACTAAATCAAGGCCTCTCTTTATAGCTTCCCATGAAATAAATGGGGCACTTCGCTTCTCATGTCCCAGCCAAGAGGAATGTCACCCAAACTACGACATATCTTATTGCATTGCAGAAATTACCCATCATGTCTGGCTTTTGGATAAAAATAACAAAAGACTCAAGCTTATGAGAAGTTTGATTAACCTCGACTTAGGATGCTATACAAAGTAGATTGGTTTTTTTTTTATCACATTGGATCTGCCGTCCATTAGGAGCAAAATATTGTCGCTTCGGGAGATTAGCCTTCTTCATCCTGGATGCCCACCGAAGGAGTGGACTTCTAATTCCCAGAATTCCCCAAGCAACATGGACTTGGAGGTGAAGGCCATCCATCTGAACGGACAAGCAAAGCAGGAAAGGCAGGGTTAGGTAACACGTAGGTTAAAAATATATATATCCTTTCCCGCAGTCTTAAAAAGGAGTCCTAAGGTCCTAAACCAAGACATCCATCAGAACTAGAGATGTAGTGGAGAATCTGGTTTCATAAGACTTAACCACACCGGCAGGGGATTATAGGGCCTTGAGTCCGCCACAGCTGGAGAATGGTATGTATGCTTTCCCCATGTGTATGTGTGTGTGTGTGTGACCATATGTTTGTTGTGTACCACAGGAATCAAGGGTGGTTGATTGGCCTGCTCCAAATTTGGGGAAGGAGTTTAAAAGTGTGTGTGAGGGTGTTATTGGATGGGGGTCAAAAAAGTCAAGATGGCAGCCGCAGCAGGACAATGAAAGCTTGGCTGTTCTAAATGGCTTCAGAGAGGCATGTTCTACTGCCTCAACTAGAGAAATAAGCATGTCTAACCTTACAAAGGACTAGGGGTGATACAATAACAATCTTCCAGTACTGGAGGGGTGGAGGAGTCAACTTATTCTCCAAAGTATCTGAGGACAGGCCAAGAAGTAATGGATGGAAGCTTATCAAGGAGAGAAGCAACCTAGAAATTTCCTAACAGAGAGAACAATTAACCAGTGGAATGGCTTGCCTCCAGAGGTTGTGGGTGCTCCATCACTGGAGGTTTTTAAGACAACAATGCACAGCCATTTGTCTGGAATTATATGGGGTCTCCTGCTTGAACAGGGGGTTAGCCTAGAAGACCTCCAAGGTCCCTTCCAACTGTATTATTCTGTTCTAACCACCAAAGAACCCAACCATATTATTCTATGTTCTAGCCACCCAAGAGATTTGAGGTGGGTCTCTTTCATAGGAAAGGATGAGTTATGTTGGCTTTTACAATAGACTGGGAGACCCTGGTACTAGATACCAGACACAGATGCTCTCTGGAAAACTTTGGGCCAATCCAATTTTTCCCAGCACTTTAGGGAAAATGGTGTCCTATGAGCATCGCTTTCCACTCTGCAACAAATAAGGCAGGATATAAATATAATGGATAACTTTTGTTTTGCTTCCGTCTTCCCTATTATGAAATCCATTTGTCAGTTCCTCTGCAATGCCAACTTGTTTTAGGCTATTCCACAAACTGCAATAGAAGACAGTCAACGGACTATGAAATGTGAAGAGACACTGCCATGTTTTTGAAGCCGAAACAAAGGACTTGAGCCCTGTTCCATCCCAGGGAACACAGCTGGTTGACTGCCTTTCTGGAATATTGTTATAATTCCCAGTCAGTTTTCCACTTGGTCCTGTAAGGAACAAATCTAAAAAGCCAATCGAGTTGAGGTATGCATTGAACTTTCATGTAACAAGCCAAGTAGTTCCAAGGGAGAAACTTGTAAAATATATCGTACTTTTTTCCAACTATTTTTTCCAACATGTCAACAGAGTATAATCTGAATTTTTGGATATGGTTTTGATCTAGCTTATTTTTCCTTTACACGCTAGTCCTTGACTTTCAACCATTTGTTCAGTGACCGAAGTTACAACAGCACTGAAAAAAGTGACTTACGACTGGTTTTCACGCTTAACGATCGTTGCAGAATCCGCGTGGTCACGTGATCAAAATTCAGATGCTTGGCAACTGGCGTGTATTTATGCCAGTTGCACTCTTCCAGGGTTACGCGGTTATCATTTGCCAACCTTCCTAGCTGGCGTCCAGCAAGCAGTCAATGGGGGAAGCCAGTTTCGCTTAATGACTGCACGATCCCTTTAACAACTGCAGCAAGTTGCTTAACTGTAGCAAAAAAGATGGTAAAACGAGGCAAAACTCAACCATCAGCTTGTTTAACAGCAGCAGCAGCAATTTTGGACTCAGGTGAGTTCCTAAATCAAGGACCATTTAGACCAGAGGTGGGGAACCTTGGCTCTTTTATGACTTGTGGACTTCAACTCCCAGAATTCCTGAGCCAGCCCAAGTCATAAAAGGGCCAAGGTTCCCCACCCCACAAGCCATGCTGGCTCAGGAATTCTGGGAGTTGAAGTCCGCAAGTCATAAAAGAGCCGAGCCATGGAATTCTGGGAGTTGGCTCAGGAATTCTGGGAGTTGAAGTCCACAAGTTATAAAAGGGCCAAGATTCCCCACCCCACAAGCCATGCTGGCTCAGGAATTCTGGGAGTTGAAGTCCACAAATATAAAAGAGTCCAGGTTCCCCACCCCTGATCTAGACTTTGCCCCTAGATCAGAAATTGGCTGAAATTTGGCTGTACCAAATAGAACAGACTAGAATTTCCTTGACGCCATCATGCAGCCATGCTGGCTAAAATCAGGGTTTGGTTCCTCTGCAGGTCAGCTACAGGAGAAAAAGATTAGCCATTGCTGGACAACACAGTGACAAACAGCATTAAACAGACGAGCAAAATAACATCCAAAGCAATTATTCTCCATTTCCAACGTAGGGAATTTAATGGACCATTATTTTGATCCCATCGTGAAGTCTGTGTTTATTCTTTTTAAGACTTTCCTCAGCTTGATCCTGCAGCTCTTAACAAAGATGCATGCATCGTTCATGTATCTGATCCATCCATCTTGCTGCTGGTCTGTCCCCTTCTTCTTTTCCCTTTCACCTTTTCCACGGAGATAGCTGGGTCTTCGGATGTGCCTGAAGTAAGATGAAGCTGATACTCTGTTCCTCAAGGGAGAACTCTTGGCTTTTCTCGGGACAATGCACTGGTTTTCTTGGCTACGGATGGTGTTTTCTGGGAGAATTCTCCACCAACGTTCAAAAGCATCAATACAATGTGCCATTGTCAGCGTAGGCAAAAGTGTAAACTTACCCAGTCAGAATAAAACTTTCCAGATACAACTGGGACTATAAAGCCCCAAATTTCTAATCAGCGTGGAAGTCAGATGGCTATGTAAGCCAAGAACTATAGTCCCTACCCATCTGGAGAACATCTGGGGGAAAAGGTTGAGAGAATTACCAACAAACTTGGGAGGTTTTCTGGAAATTGCACAGTTGGCTAAGTTTGCATAACATTTAACACAAGACCGAAAGCATCTATCTGACTCGTGCCACTTTTGCTGTGTTGAGTTTTGGAGCCTTGGACGCAATACCAGATTTTGGAAAACAGTGAAAACGTTTAAGTTTCTATAAAACCATTTTTTAGTTTCCTGGAGACCAAGAGCGCCCTCTGCTGAGATTGAAATTCTTCTCGCTCATACATCAGTTTGCTTGCCGATTAAAATAAAGATGCTGGGAGGGGAGGGAATGCTGGCTGAGGAATTCTGGGAGTTGAAGTCCCCATAGCTTAAGAGTTGCCAAGATGGAGAAAAACTTGAGCTAGGGTCTAACACGGGTAGCCCTCAACGTACAATTCAGCCCCAAATTTCTGTTGCCAAGTAAGAGTCTCGAGTGAGTTTTGCCCCGTTTTACGACTTTTTTTGCCAGTTTTTAAGTGAATCACTGCAGTTAAGGTAGTAACACGGTTGCGAAGTGAACCTGGCTTCCCCATGGCTGGTCAGGTCATAAAAGCAGATCACATGACCCTAGGATGTGGCAACCGTCATAAGTATGAAACAGCTGTCCAGCATCTGAATTTTGATCGCGTGACCAGGTGAATGCTGCAACGGTCCCGAGTGTCATAAATCTCCTTTTTTTTCCAGTATTGTTGTAACTACGGTCACTAAACGAATAATTGTAGGTCAAGGACTACCTGAATAGTGCAATATAGAAAAGTCTGGACACATGGATGGATACCTGGGATAAGGGAGGCCTGTTCTGTGAAAAACTTCGCTTGAGTTATATGAAAAGCAAGGAAATTTAGTCTATGCCGGGGACAGGCAACCTAGGCTCTTTTATGACTCGTGGACTTCAACTCCCAGAATTCCTGAGCCAGCCATGCTGAGGGGAAAGGGAGAGGCTTCCAAGCTGAGCCATGCTGGCTCAGGAATTCTGGGAGTTGAAGTCCACGAGTCATGAAGGGGCCATAGTTTCCCCATGCTGGCTCAGGAATTCTGGGAGTTGAAGTCCATGAGTCATAAAGCAACCTAGGCCTAGGCCAGAGGTAGGCAATCTTGGCTTTTATGACTTGAGGACTTCAACTCCCAGAATTCCTGAGCCAGCCATGCTGAGGGGAAAGGGAGAGGTTTCCAAGCTGAGCCATGCTGGCTCAGGAATTCTGGGAGTTGAAGTCCACCAGTCATAAAAGAGCCAAGGTGGCCTACCCCTGGTTTATGTGGAGAAGTTGGCATGGCAGGGGGGGGGGAAACACTCTCATTTTGATCACAAATACATCACCAAAGAAAGTAGAAGATAGGAAAAAGTCAGTCTTGTATCCGAAAACAATCCATATACTACTGCTAGAAATAAATTTCCCATCACAAGTTTCGGTTTTACTTGAAAAAACAAAACAAAACCTGAGATAATAGAAAACGAAGAAATACAATCCATTTTTCCTTTTCACCAGGAGGGCAAATTATTGCAATAACCATTATATGCAAGCAGCTTTGCCGGGAAACATGGAAAAACGTGAATACAGAGGAACATTTAACTTTAGGGCTTCCCGTGGTGGGCCAGACCATTATGCAGAGAGAAGAGCAGGTTTTAAGTTCAGAGTTAGAATTGCTCTTCTGCAAACACCACGGTGAAGACTACCCCTACTAGCAGTTGCATAAAGTACCTAAGATCCAAGGCACGGATTTACTTTGGCACCTTGTATTGTCATTGCTATTATTTAAAAAAACATGGCTACTTTAGGTAAGGTGACACATTAGGAGGAAAATATTCTAGGCACTTGCTGAATACTGACCCGTAAGGATTCACTTCAAGAGACTGGCTGCAAAGAGTCCTTTTGAACAATTTATTAATTTGTCTGCTTTTTTTTACAAGTTTAGAAAAAGAAACCCAGGATTTTCCCTCCTGTGTGTTTTCGCCTCGCTTCCTCGTGATCCATGATGCCAGCTGACGTGGTCAGGACAATGTACCTATTGAGAGAGGATGGAGATGCTGGTGAAAAAGATGGCCTGGGGCTTATTCCGGGGCACAAAATCATGACTGGCTTGGAAGAACCGATCCTCTAGAAGGATAAAAGCTCTGCCACAGGGCTGTGCACATTCACTGGGGCCAATTTTGCAGCCCCCTTAAAGCACCCCAGTTGTAATGCCCAAATAGGACGGCAAAATCTCGTTTGGCAATTGAATTCTCCAATTTTAGAGGAGAAAAAAAAGTCAAAGCAAGTGCTTCTGCTAAGCTTTAAGGCAATTTATTTGCACACTGTTCATTTGTACCCTGCCTTTATTATTTTTACAAGTAATTCAAGGCAGTGAACTTATCTAACAAAACTTCCTCCTGATCCCACCACCCCAGAGAAGAACTGGCCCAAAGCCACCCAGATGCTCTCGTGCCTTTGGCGGCACTAGAACTCACTGTCTCCTGGTGATTGGCCCAAAGTCACCCACAGCTAAGGAAAAATGTGAACTCAGTCTCCCACTTTCTAGCCAAAGTGCCTTAACTGCTAGGCTAAATGGCTCTCTGTTCATCCCCAACATAAGCTCAATTTTGACCCTGTAACTCCAATCACCAGATATACCAGCTTCAGCTCCGCAGGGATGACAAAAAAAAAAAAAAATCAGTAAATGACAGCCAATCCCCTAGGCCAGGGGTAGGCAACCTTGGCTCTTTTTATTCTGGGGGTTGAAGTGCACGATTTATAAAAGAGCCAAGGTTGCCTACCCCTGCCTTAGGCCAAAAACTGTCGCTCGTTCTATCCCTACAAACCAACTGCGTTATTTAAATTTGTGAAACCCACATCTTGCAAAATTTAAGAATAAAATAACTGGAAAGCTGCTACTCAAGGCTGCACGAGAGCTGAACAGCCGAGCTTTAATGGAGCTCAGCTCAAATTTAAAATGGGAAGCTTTTAGCCTGAGACGTGTGCACAGCATAGAGTGAACCCCTGTTTTAAGAAGCCAGAGTGCCGTTTTTGCTCTCCGCGAAGTTCTAACAAGAAGCAGGAACGACAACAGGAGGAAGCAAAGGCCGGCCTCAAAGCAGTTGATCACCTTCCCATCTTCGGGCAATTTCATTTTTTTCTCAGCAAGCTTGTTTTTTTTTTTCCTCTCAACTCATGCTTACCCGAACTGACGTGAAGGCAGCAGATTGTTCTGCCACTTTTCCAAGTCTTTCAGCTGGACATCGAATCTGGGACTGATCACACCGCACTGTCCGAACGGAGACCGGGAAAAAAGCAAGGAAGGACAGTGACACTGGTGCACGCAGAGTGGCTCAGGCAATTGTTATACCGTCCTATCTGGCCTCAGAGCTATGGATAAATCCTCACAGCCTTCCTTCTTCTATCCTACTCAGAGACTTCCAGTAGTAGTTGTGAAGAGGTAATGCAACAGACAATGGGACAGGAAAAGGATATTAGGAACACAATCCTGGAAAGTAATTCCATTATTTATTTTTCCCAGATATAAATATAAAGGAACAAATTTAGGTAGCCAATGATGGTTACTTGGCACATGTAACACTACTACAGCATAAAAAAGCACTGGTTTCCATTCTGCTTTAGGGTGCAAGTCTAGGTGCTGGGGGTCACCTGTAACCTGGCTTGGGACCAGGTTACTTGAGGGACTGGCTTTCCCCAATGGCTTCTACCTGTCTAATCTAATGCAGCAAGATGGGCATGCTCTGGGTCCTGTTGGCTAAGGAATGCCAGATGGTGGGTCCCTAACGCCCATCCCATGGAACATTTGCCCTTTGACCCTGTGCCCAAACCTGGGACCCCAAGTATGTGTGAAACAACCTGTCTCCTGGCTGGATTAGTGTCAACGCTGCAAATATTGTATATTCTTGCTTTGACAATATGTAGAACTGCCTGGTATTTTTGAGGTTAATACAGAGAAGAAGGGAGCAAAGCCAGGGGAAAGAAAGAGGAAAGAAACCTTTGACGTTTACACTAATTGGATAATGTGACATATGA